TGTGGGGTGGAAGAGGGTAACCAATTACAAGAATCTAGGTATAGCCTCCTCCCTGGGGGATGGACAGCAGAGAAGAGGGTGGAGGGAGATGTCGGACAGTGTAACTTATGACAAAACTATATAATTTATGAATTATGAAGGGTTCATGGGGGAGGGGGAGTCGAGAGGGAGGGGGAAGAAGAGCAAATGATATTAAGGGCTAAAGTGGAAGGCAGGTGTTTTGAGATTGATGAGGGCAACAAATGTACACATGTGCTTGACACAGTGGATGTATGTATGGACTGTGATAGGAATTGTACGAGCCCTCAATAAAATAATTAAAAAAAACCCAACACCAAAAACCCTCAAAACTCAAGTTTTGCCCTTAAGTTGATTCTGACTCATGGCGACCCTATAGGGCAAAGTAGAACTGCCAAGACACGACCAAGGCAGCTTTCCAAGACAATAATTTTACAAGGGTAGAAAGCCTCCTTTTTTTCCAATGGAGAGGCTGGTGGTTTCTAATTGCTGACCTTGTGGTTAGCAGCCTAACGCCTAAGTACTGTGTCACCAGAGCTCCCTCCAGACAACCAAGTGACAGTGAGAATGATGATGATTCTACTCCACATTTGTCTAGTAAAGTGAAAGTCTCATAGGTGCTTTTTCAAGTTTTAACTTATTTTAAATTTGAGACAGTGGTATGGGGAAAGGCATTTCTCTTTTCTTTTATAGATGGAAATGAAGGTATCATAGGCTTTACTCCTACAGGCTTTACTCTATTTCATTGGTTCTCAACCTTCCTAATGCCGCGACCTTTTAATACAGTTCCTCATGTTGTGGTGACCAATGTAAAAAACTGAAATCCTCACAACTGGACCAGTAAGTAATATCATGATCAATAGAGAAAATATTGAAGTTGCCAAAGATTTCATCTTGTTTGGGTCCACAGTAGTGCTCATGGAAGCAGCAGTCAAGAGATCAAATGATGCACTGCACTGGATAAATCTGCTGCCCAAGACCTCTTTAAAGTGTTGAAAAGCAAGGAAGTTACTTTGAGGATTAAGGTGCACCTGACCCAAGCTATGATATTTTCTATTTTTTAGCCGTGGTATTTTCAATCACCTCACATGCATGTGAATTTGGACACTGAAGAAGGAAGGCTGAAGAAGAATCGATGCATTTGAACTGTGGTGCTGGAGAAGAATGGTGATGGTACCTGAGACCACCTGACCTGGAAGAAGTCCAGCCGGAATGCTCTTTTAGAGGCAAGGATGGCAAGACTTGGTCTTATGTACTTTGGACATGGTGTCAGGAGATTGGTCCCTGGGGAAGGACATAATGCTTGGTAAAGTCAAGGGGTAGCATAAAAAGAGGAAGCCATTGACAGGATTGATTGACACAGCGACTGTATCGATGGACTCAAGCATAAGAGTGACTCTGAGTACGTCACAGGTCTGAGCAGTTTCACTCTGTTGTACACATGATCACCATGAGTCAGAAATGACGACAGCACAAAACAACAAAGGGCTACAGAAAGGATTAATTTTAAGTCACAAAGAGCTAGGTTCGAATTTTAAGTCTTTAATGTCTTCACTACACCTCAGTGACATAAAAAATACTCAGAGAAAAAAAAGGAAACTCATTCCGCCACGCCTGGCTGGGAGCTTTACAGTGCTTGCCTGAGGAGAGGATCACTCAGTGTGCCGGGCACTGTCTTAGCGCTGCTCTGACACAAATGTCACCAACAGATGCTGGAACAAGCACACTCATGCCCTCTTGGTTCAGAAGGACTGAGGCTTTTTCTAGGAAATGGCGCTCTCTCTTTTGGCTCGGAAGGAAGGTCCTTGTCTCTTCTGAGTTCTGCTCCTGGGTGAGTTTCAAATGGCATGGCTTTCTGTTCCTCCATCTCTGCTTACTTAGTAGCTTGTTTAACCTCTTCTGTAACTTTAAACAGATATATCTAACCACACCCCACACAGATATTGTCTCATTAACCCATCAGAAAACTCATTCCTCAATGGGATTATAGTCACAGATATAGGAGTTAGGATTTATATTTGCAGTACATTAAATTAGAAAATAAATACCTGATAGGTTGTGAAGGTTTATTTCTTGGCTTTTTGGAACACACTCGGACATATTCCTTTTTGTTTGCATTTTCAATAAACTTCACATATATCCTTTTGTATTTACTCTTGGCATCTCCAAAATATCCAAGGTACTAAGAAAACAAACCTTTCAAATTACATAATTGTACAATCTGTACATAACAAATATTACTTTGTTGCCTTGATTGATAATCTTATAGCCATCCAAAACACAGGTCTGCCAAAATTTCACCTTGAATCAAAGTCATTCCAGTGGGCTCATTTTTCATTGGAAGCTCACACAGAGATGCTGTTTCCTTTGGCTAATCAAGAAAATCTAACTTATTCGAGCTACTGAACAACTACAAATGCATCACGTTGTCAGTCTTCTGATAAAATCAGGCTATCTGAGTGAAGAATCAACATAACAGCTGCTAAGTCTATCTGGATTCTGTATGGACAACGCTAATTCCTTCATTAAAAACATACATCTTAAATAATTTTAGCATTCACATTTGCTCATTTTGATTTTATTTTAAAATCAGATTATCACACATTCTGCTATTAAAAATAGACTATAAAGAGTACATTTAAATAATATATTTTCCCTAGAATCACAATGAAAACATAGTAAAGCTAATGTAAACAAGCATTGTACTTACACTATTTGTTGCAGCAAATTCTCGTTGCCCATCTCGAATTTCAGGGACAAATTTTTGTAATAAGGCTTTTTGCACTTTCCAAATAGCTGGGGGTTCTTTTCCTGATTTTAAAGCCTCCTGTAATAAAGAGAGTTATTCATATTTATAAACAAGATCACAGATTAAATTTATAAAATCTTAGAATTGAAAAGAACCTTAAAGACCTATCTATTTCATTTTTGAAATCTTTTACCTTTTGAACATCATTAACAATTCTTTTATTTTAAAAAAATCATTTTATTGGGGACTCTTACAGCTCTTATAACAATCCATACATCAATTGTATCAAGCACACATGTACAGGTTTCCATCATCCTTTTCAAAACATTTTCTACTTGAGCCATTAGTAACAGTTCCTTTGTTCCCTCCCACCCCCATGAACCCTTGATAAATTATTTATATATATATAATTATTTTATTGGGGGCTCGTACAAATCTCATCACAATCCATACATACATCCACTGTGTTAAGGACATATGTACATTCGCAGCCCTCATCATTCTCAGAACATTTGCCCTCCACCTCAGCCCTTAATATCAGTTGCTCATTTTCCCCCTCCCTCCCCAGATAAATTATATATTGTTATTTTCATATCTTACACCGTCCACTGTCTCCCTTCACTCATATCCTCCTGTGTGTGTATGTGTGTGTGTGTGTGTTGTGTGTGTGATACATCGATCATTACAATTGGTTCCCCCTTTCCACTCCCCAACTTCCCTCTACTCTCATGGTATCGCTACTCTCATTATTGGTCCTGAGGGGTTTATCTGTCCTGGATTCCAAGTGTTGGGAGCTCTTACGGTACCAATGAACATACTCCAGTCTAGCCAGATTTGTAAGATAGAACTGGGTTTGTGATAGTGGGGTGGTGGTGGTGGAGAAGCATTGAAGCGTTAAAGAACTAGAGGAATGCTGTGTGTTTTGTCGGTGCTACACTGCACGCTGGCTGACTTGCCCCTTCTTTGTGACCCTTCTGTGAGAGGATATCCAATTGTCCACAGATGGGCTTTGGGTCTCCCCTTCGACCCACCTCGTTCCCCTTGATAATACTTCTTTTAAGTTTATTATTTAGCCTGTACTTGAGTAGGCTGGTACCCTTTTTCAGTTAAAGGATCTGAATGTTTTCCTTCAGTGATACTATCATATATTATTTATGTAATTTATTACTATATATAGAGAAAACCAGAACAGATATACTAATAATAATTCATTGTGCTTGGTAGGAACATAAACTTGAACATTATGTTCTTCTATTTTTTAATGTCAGTCCTCTCTAACTAATTTAAAAAAAGGCAAACCAGTAAAATTCCCTAAAATAGCTTTTGTTAACATAGCAACCATTTTCTTGTATTGTTACACATGGTTCTAGAAATGAGTTTATGAAAATAAATCTAAATCTTTACATGATAGTCCTATGGCTTTTCTTCAAAGTTTAAAATTGGATACCTAGTCATTTTCTCCAAACTTCTAATATGATGAATTCGTTAACACGGAAAAAAGGAGCCTCCCAAATGTTCTAATTATTAGTCCTTAAATGTAACATACTGACTAGTCAGAAATAAACAATACTACAAGTACTTTAAACTATTTTCTTTTTCAAAATATCACATGGCTACCAGATTGATTTTCTGATATAAACACTTATAAAAGTAATACTTTTTGCCATTTAAGTTAGATCCAATGGAAATCACTGCACTCCAAACTGTGATCTTTACACTTGGGAACATATACATACCTTGAAAGTCTCTATGTCTTCAATCTTTACCACAAATTCATCACGTTCTCGGTACTGGCCTTCTCCTCCGCTTTCTGCGTCCTCCTCTTCCGCACAACCTTCTATGGCCACAGAGTCCTGCCCTTTAGCAAGCTGCTCTGAAGGAAGACCATCGTGCTCATCGTGTTTCGGGGGTTCTGCAGCGTTTACATTTTCTGGAATATTTACTGCAGATGAAGTAGAGTTGAGAGATTCTTGCTTAACAGCACCCGCAGTCGTGGAGGAAGTAGTAGCACTATTAGTAGTACTGGCTGTTGGATTAGTAGTTGCCACCTGTCGGGCTTCTGAAACTAAAGCAAGCAAATGCAAATCAGTATACAAATGTTTAGGGATTTACTTAATTTTAGTAAAATGTGGACAGTTTAAAAAGGAAGACTTGATTGAAACATTCAAAACCACAATAAGAAATTAAAAAATGGATGGTTGTTCATTTCTAAGAATCAAACAGGAAAGAAATGCATCTGGGTGATAAGCTGACTGAGACATTCAACAAACTAGGAATAAAAGGGAGTTCCCTCAACCCTATAAAGGGCATCTATAAGACACACAGGCTGCAGGCAGAGGGAGAGTGGGTATCACCCATGAATATATACAGATTTGACCGAGTATTTGTGTATGTAGATTTACTTTGGCTGCAAGTAAATCCATGAATGTGGTGCTAAATACAGAAGACAAAGTTATGAAAACTAAGATATAAGCAAACACCTTGAGGTAACAAATCACAGAACTCAGAGTCCCCAGACCATCATCCTGGGAGACACCCAGGCCAACTGGCATAACATAGTTTTCAAAGACAATGCTTTACAGCCTAATTTGGTGAATACTGACTAGAGTCTTAAAAGCTCATGAAAGGCCAGTAAGGTGCAACTCCTGGTCTGTCCCCACTCACAGGACAGAGTGATGAAAGCCCAAAGAGACATGGAAACAATTAGTCCAATGGCCCAATAGACCATGAGAACATCAGTCTCCAAACATCACTAACATAAAAAGAACTAGAGACCAACTGCTCTTTGAAAGGAATCATTAGAAGGTCCCGGAAAGAGTGGAGAAAAATGTGGAACAGAACTCAAAAATCCTAAAAGAGACCAGTCTTGATGGTTAAGTAGACTGGTGGGACCCTCAAAAACTCCCTTAGCCATCCTTCAAATCTGGATCTGAACTTACCTCCAGGATAGAAAAATCAGATCAAAAGGGCAGCATTGACCAAGGACAAAGTCCAAAGTGTTAGGAAACCAGGAGGAATGAAAACAGGAAGCACAGAGGGGAAGTGGGACAAGAGATGGCACAGGGAGGGGAATGCAATGAATGGGCTGAATCAGAATGTGTTTGAGTTGTTGAATGAAACTCTTGGAGGATACAAAGGCGTAATTCTTTGTGATTCTGAGTTAGGTAATGGTCTTATTTCCATCCAAAGCACTAAGGAGAAAAGGAAAAATCAATTGGTCTTAAAACCTTTATACTTTAAGCGTTATAGTCAAGAAAGTGAGAATATAGTCCCCATGTTGAGGAACACATTGGAATTCATATATTTATCAAATATTTATGTCTGACTAAAAGCAACTCTAAGGAGGGTTTCTGCGACAATCGTTATGGGAGCAAAGTCTCAACGCTTTCCCTTGGGGCAGCTGTTGGGTTTGGACAGCTGACCTTATAGTTAGCAATCCAACACTTACTTACTCAACAGCCCCAGCAGGGGTTCCATCTATAGTCATGAGATAAGTCCAAATCAAAACAATGAGATACCGCTTCATATCTGTTAGAATGGCTTAATAAAAATACAAATTTCGCAAAGAGGATATACAAACCATCAACAAGCACATGAAATGATGCTCAATGTCATTAGTCATTTCTAAAACAAACAAACAAACAAACAACAAACCATAAATAAGTCACTGCTGCTGATTAGTTTAATTCAAAGTGGCCTTACAGGGCAAGGCAGAACAGTTCCAACAGCTTTCCTAAGCTGTTTGTCTCTCCTGCAGAATGGATGTTGGGTTCAAACTATCAACCTTTCAATTAGCAAGCAAGTACTTTCACCACTATTCATCTCCCATTAGTCATTAGGGAAATGCAAATAGGAACCACAACAGAGTATCACCCAACCCCTACTAAAATGTGCATGATTTTTTTTTAAAAGGAAAATATAGGTTTTGAACAGGATATGGGGAGTTTGGAACCCTCGTCCATTGCTGACAGGAATGTAAAATGATACAGCCACTATAAGGAACAGTTGGTTGAATCCTGAAAATGTTACAAATTGAGCTACCTGAGTACCTAGAAAAACAGCAATGTTCACTGAGGTGCTACTCATAATATCCAAATAGTGTAAACAACTTAAATGTCTTCCAATAGGTGAACAGATAAGTAAAATGTGGTATATACCAACAATGGAATATTATTCAGTCATACAAAAAAAGAAGTCCTGAAACAAACTACAACATGGATAGACCTTGAAAACAAGACAAATATTGAACAATCTCATTTACATAAAATAGGCAAACGCATAGAGACCAAAGTCATTTAGTGATTATCAGGAGTAGAGGGAAGGGGGAAAAGGGAAGTTGCTTAGGAGGCACTAGAAGTTTCTGTTAATATTGGTGAAACAATTTAGAAAAGAATTGTGATAATGATACAAACAACACTGACGAACATAATTAATGTCACGGAATTGTACATATGAAAATCACTGAATTGGTGTTATATATTTTGAACCACAATTTAAACAATATAAATCAATAACAAGTATTGTCAAGAATATGGAAAATTAGAACATTCATATATTGCTGGTGAAAAGATAAAACCATAGGAAAATTTTGGAAAGCACTTTGATTTTTTTTTCTCAAGATGATAAGTATGGAGAAAGAAAAAAGTGTAACAATAAAAAAATAATCAGTAAATGAGAAACAAGGACAGAAAACGAAACAAAACTTACTACATCACTGCCATGGAGTCTATGCCAGCTCATAGCAACCCTTTAAGGCTGGGAAGAACTACCCCTGTGAGTTTTCAAAGACCAACCCTTTATGAGAGTAGAAAGGCCCGTCTTCCACAGAGCTGCTGGTGGTTTTGAACTATGAACCTTGCGAATCACAGCCCAAGTAACCACTATGGCACCAGGGCTAGTGAAATTACCAAGCATAGACTCTAAAACAATGATGCTTACTATATTTGTGGGGATAAAAGCCAAACTTAATTTAAGCAAAGAATTAGAAATATTAAAAAGAAACATCACAGCTTTGAACTAAATGATCTAATACCTGAAGCTGAAAAACACAAAAACTGAAAATAAGAACTTAATCACTAGTTCAATGAAAGAAGAGCAATGGAAAAAAGAAAGAAAGAAAGAAAGAAAGAAGAGCAATGGTTAAAGAATTAATAAATAGAAAAAAAAAAGAATGAATAAATAGAAGATAGCTCAGAAAAACCATAGATTGATGAACACAGTAGGCCACTGGAGATCCCCTTGCAGAGGGGTCTCGGGGAGGAGATGACCCAGTCAGGGTGCGATGTAACAACGATGAAAAATACAACTTTCCTCTAGTTCCTAAATGTTTCCTCCCCGCTCCCACTACCATGACTCGAATTCTACCTTGCAAGCTGGCTAGACCAGAGGATGTACACTGGTACAGATAGGAACTGGAAACACAGGGAATCCAGGGCGGATGAGCCCTAAGGACCAGTGGTGTGAGTGGCGATACTGGGAGGGTAGAGGGAGAGTGGGTTGGAAAGAGGGAACAGATTACAAGGAAATATATGTGACCTCCTCCCTGGGGGACGGACAACAGAAAAGTGGGTGAAGGGAGACGTCAGACAGGGCAAGATATGACAAAACAACAATTTATAAACTATCAAGGGCTCATGAGGGAGGGGGGGAGCGGGGAGGGAGGGGAAAAATGAGGACCTAATGCTGGGGGCTTAAATGGAGAGGAAATGTTTTGAGAATGATGAGGGCAATGAATGTACAAATGCGCTTTACACAATTGATGTGTGTATGGATTGTGATAAGAGTTGTATGAGCCCCTAATAAAATGATTTTTTAAAAATGACAGAAAATAAAATAGAAAATGAAAGTATTAAAAACAGATGAATAGATGGTTTATCCACATAAGGCAATACAAAGAATGACATATTGATAAAATGAACTACATGATTAAACTTTGAAAATAATGTTGAATGGCAAAAGCCAGCCTCAAAAAGCCATATATGATGATTCCTATTATATGAAATATCCAAATATAGGTGAGTAGATGGAGACAGAAAGTATACTGGTAGTTTTCTACTGACTGGTGCGTGACAACGGAGTGACAACAAATGGACATAAGGTTCCTTTTAGAGGATACAAATACAATAAAACTAGATAGTGGTGATGGTTATTAAATCTTGTGAATATATGAAAATCAATGAATCGCCCTTTAACATGGGTGAATATATGGTATGCAACATATACCAATTAATAAAGTTGATACAAGTGTAGATAATAAAGACTAGGGAGAATTAAATTATCTATCTTGAATCCACAATGACTTCATGGGTCTGCTCCCCAAAGGACCCTGTAGCCATCTAGCCCTAGTGGACGGCCCTGTCGGGTTTATAATCTGTACATCTTCACAGCAGCAATCTGACTGCGGGCAACATCTTTCCTCTCAGAGCAGCTGGTGGATTCCAAGCACCGCTCTAGTGCTTTAATGACAGTGCCACCAGGGCTACTTTTGATTTGGGTATTTACTGATCAACAATTGCCATTGGACATCACAAAAAGGGAGATAATCAAGATGTTAAGAGGCTCTTGAAGGAGGAATAATATATTAACAAGTATGAGGTAATTGTCACAAAAAGAAAAAAAAAGTCGGTTCAAGGCTTATAGTCCAACTATGAATTTATAGGAAATATGACAAAGGAATATGTTGAGCATACCATAAAATATAACTAGAAAAATTATGACCATATGAAATACAGAACATCCACTTTCATGAACAAATAAATTTTGTTGGGGGAGGGAAACCTACAGAGTGAAATAATTTACAGAGACATATTAACCAACAACAGGACCAATGTGTGGACCTTATTTGGATCAAACAAAGTGCCAAAAAGACATTTTGATATGATGGCAAAATCTGAGTACTACCTTAGTGATGGTAGTGGCACAGGCACTGACTAACTAATCAGTGAAACAAATAAAAAAGCCCAAAACAGACCCACATACATTCAGCTATGTATGAAAATGGTCTCGAAAAATAATTTCCGAATAAATGACACTGGCACACTTGGGTCAAACAATACAGAATCAAAT